TCGGCAGTACCGCCTTCTTCAGAGCCTGGAAGGGTATACTGATATACAATTTACTAGGCCACATCGAACTGGTTCCGTATGCTCGCATTGACTTCTGATGGGGGATGGTGCAGTCATCAGCCATATGCGACTATAATCAGCTGTTCTAAACTTCCTCATTGGAAGCCACGTGAAAAGCGGTGACTTTTTCGAGAAGCTGTTGATCGTGTAATTAGCATAGAATTTTTCGTCTTTTTATAAGTGTTATTGAAGCGTTTGGCCTAGTAGATTGTATATCAGCATACCCTTCCAGGCTCTGAAGAAGGCGATACTGCCGAAACGCCAGCTACTGTTGTATTGTATTGTGTTTCTCTATGAAAGTAAATGTACCCTGTTTAAAAGCCTCGCGATTGCTGAGCAAGAAAACGACGCATCTATAATTTGTACTACGTAATTTATACATTCCACATAGATTTAACACTCTTTCACAGACATTTTGTACCTACGGCTAGCAATTTTCACGAAGAACTTCCAGTCTTCGGAGAACTTTCGAAAACATAGAGTACAAAGTACTGCCGTCAGCATTACGGAGCCCGCAATCAAAGAGCTAAAAAAATCTCGATGGAAAAACTACGGGAAAATAAAAAAAACGCAAAGTCAACACTACAAAGTCCACGGTCAGTAGGTTAGAAATCTCCAGAAAACACACAATATTACTACCACTATTACTATTATTATTATAGCTGGCATTACCTAGCATCCTTAATAGGGATGCAGGAAGCGCATTGCTCATAATGTTGTTTAACTTGCCGTGGTTTGACACCGTCGTGTGCCATGATCCGTATTCCTTCGGCGGAGTCTGGAGTTCTTTAGGAGTCTTCTCTTCTTTTCACATCGCTCGTGCTCACATCTGCTGCATAGATTCTAGCACTTTTTGTATTTAATTCTTCTCTTTGTATCCATAAACCGCGAACGTCTGCTAGTGTTTGGATTGAACGTCGTTTCTCTTAGGAACAAACAAGATTTATTCATTAAGGTCAGATGCGTTTAGTGTAGTAAATTGCGGTTGAAATGAAATGAAGTGTGGTTTTCAGTTGCTTTAGACTTTAACCTCTCGAAAATCAGATTGATTGATCGACTTCGAATGTCATAGTCCTCATTGAAAGGAACCTAGAAAAAACGGATAAAAACGACTTTTAAGGGAGGAAATTAGCTCCTCGTCTCCACATATACACGAGGCTCTTCCAGTCTCAGGCAACAGACACTTGAAATGTGGGCGCAGTTCTACTGTTTGAAAAACAGCTGTAACAATCGTGTCAACATTACCCACATAAATTAATTCTTCAGATGAGGCTTAAAATAAGTGGAAAGCATCCCTAAAAATTGACTTTTATTTAATTTCGCTACGTATAATCATTGTTTTCCTGCATTCATAAACTCACATAAGGTTGCTTCGAAATCTATATTGCAGCCAATGTTTCGCATTCTTCACCCTCTCAATGTGTCGAGTCGAGAGTTCACAGTCGTTCAACCTTGCGATATGTTCAGTTCGTGAACGAGTTAGCCCCTGGAAAGTGTAATAAGGTATTAGATCGTTAACACAGAAACCTGTTGTTCAGAGATTTGGCATAACAAGTGACCACATTGTGATTTATATTACAGCTTCAGCTTAACTAGGTTCAATGCCGATTTGTGCTCCCAGATCAGTCCCATTGACGGGTCACTGCTGATATCACCTATTGGTTAAAATACGGCCAAGAGAAAGACAAAACGATGGAGCGGCACGGCGTGGTGGTAGACGCGTTAGCCGTGAGGAGGGTAATAGCGAGTTCGATCTCCATCATATACACTCATGGTTCGGAGTCTTGGAAATATCTCAGCATCAACGACCGCAAAATTTCGATTCTGGGCCAGATCGAAGGAAGATTTCCCTTTCCGGGGGAACGCGCATTAGGAATACCGCTACGGTGGCCCTTGCTCTGCATCTCTCTCAGCTAGTTTTCTACCTAACGCTGCCATCAGCAACCTGCCGTGAAAAATTACAGTAAGCAAAAAATAAAAGGTTAGCATTATCTCAGGATCATATAGATTACTCGTTAGTTGTTTTGCAAGTTTTTAAGAGGCATCAGTGAAACATCAGCATTTCAGATCGACTTGGGAAGAATAAGGTGTGGTGTGTCAAAAAAGTCCATTGCGACAAGGTGAAAACTTAGGGAAAGTCCTTTGGAATCAATGTATAATGTAGACAGTGCTCAAATATCGAATTCATGTACATAAAAATTATCGACTCAGAAAACAAATGATTTTTGCATGCAATAATCAGAGAATGGGAAGCAATTTCTGAACCTGAAGTCTGAAATACTAAGAGTTGAAAAAAAGAGTTTTCCAGGATGTAGCTGGATACAGTCCCTTTGGCGACATGGTTCGCAAAAGCACGGTAAATAAGACAGGAGCATTACATTTTCAGCCTACTCCAACCACAGTATATCACCATTTCCACTATCTTTGGTAGCGTTTGAATGAATTCAAAGGGAATCAGCGCATTTTCAGCGGTGAAATGCAAAGCCATTGGCTACGATGTTTGGTATCAAATAAGCACCTCACGTCGACTAACAATCCTACAATTACGATGTGATTAAATGTATTGCTTATCCATTCCTATCACTGCCAAAAAATAACACAGAAACCTCTAAATTATTCATTTACCACCTAATTGGATTAAGTCTAATAAGGCCAAGCTTGCAGGTAGGGCGCTTGTAGCGCAGTGGTTAGAGGCGCCACTGCGACACATACGTGAAATCGATCCTCGCGTCCATGGCCCACCAAGCCTTCCATCTCTCCGGGTTCGGGAAATTGGTGCCAGACTTGTCTCGGAGGACAGCAGCACTGGATCGATACATCAATAGGCCACCGCGAGTTATTGTAAAGGCCAGATGTGCATTCAATCACCTCCGACGATGCTTAACGAAGTCGAATGTATGGCGCATATCTCAGGGATTCCCTTGGAGAAATGGAAGATTTACTGGCGTCCGGTCGAATCATTCGATGATGAACCGGGCGACAGGTGATACAAGCCATACTTGATGCCGGATTTATGCTTAGAAAATCCTAAAAGATTACCACTGAATTCCGTCCTAGTCCTAGCTTTCTCTACATCTTGCTTTCCAGATAGCCAGGTATATATTAAATTCCATGCGAAAATAATCGCCTGTTATAACTTTAAATAGCATAACCCTACCTAAAAAGAATTTTATTAATGGTAATGAAAACTGTCGAAATATGCAAAACTTCTCCTACAAGGCAAAAAAGTCTTGTTTTACTACTACGAAATTTCCATTTTCTAGAGTTCAAAGCACATATTTTTTCTGTTTTCTTTTGATTCAGTGCTCATATTTCCAACACAAAAACAAGGATTTGTCCAGAGGAACAGCGTAGTACTCCGCAATAGTCTCGTCTCTGCAGCTGCTGGTCCTGCGTTGGAAATTTTAAAACCAGTAATGTTCATTTTCAGGAGGTGGATGGCACAGTGATAGTGATGTCCGTCATCACGAGCATGGTACTGCTAGGGGCAGCCAGGCTTATCGTCCCTCCGTGTCGGGACATTCGTACCGGACTTGTGTGGGAAAAATTATTCTCTGCAATCCAATTTGGAACGCTTCAGCTCGGCTATCTCAGGACTCCAGGAAGAATTGCTCGACCAGCATTCTACCGCATTCAAGATGAAATGAAACATCCTCCAGCAGCAACCGATGCCACACGTAAAAGTTGGAAGATCTTTGTGAACAATGGATGCGAGGAAACGAATCGAATGTGAGAAGTGATAGGATCCGTACAGTAGATGTGAAGATGGGTCATACAAAACAAAATAAAAAAGCGTTCATTTTCAATTTTTTAGCAATGTTTCTAAACATGGTCGAAACCGAATGAACTCTTTATAAAATTTTACAGACGTTTATGAAACAGAGCGCAGTCTCTTCTACAAACCTATAAAGTTTTGAACTCGTGAGATGATTTGATGATCGAAAAATTATCATAGTTTTTCAAAAATCTAACTTTTGCACGAAAGCATTAAACGATAGATCTCATTGTTGCCAAACGTGGCTGCCACAAATAAACAACTTTTGAAAATGACTACCTTAGTTCTAAATTCTGAGAAAGTTCCAACAAAATTACAGCGGAATTAACTTCTCATTTCGTATATAATGCTGAGATATTTGCAAAACTCCGGACCGCAAGAGCTAAAAAAAGATCGATAGAAATAGCTGAGAGACGTGCGAAACAAAGGACCCGCATGGTGTGGTGGTGAACGCGTTACTCCCCGGAAAGGATAATAGCGCGTTCGTTCCCCACCATAGACACCTGCGGTCCAGAGTTTTGCAAATATCTCAGCAACGTTGTGGTTGTATTTCGCTTAGTAACCTGCCATGAAAATTATAGAAGGCAGAAAACAAAAACGTTAAACAACTTTTGTTTTAGATTTCGCAATTAGACTTCGCTTTTCTGACACACGCAGATCGTTGTCGCTCTTCGCAACTTTTCTCCGATGACCGAGTTTTGGACAGTGAATTTATTTAAAAGATGAAGTCTATCACAATTCAGAGAAGACTTTGACGACAAAGGGTCCATGGATGGCCCTGCGTGATCGACATTGCAGTGGCATTAGTCTTAGTTCATGGAAATGTTGAACTCGTCCTCACTTTACTATTCTCGGGCGTGGGATGAGTCCTGCCGTGACATGAACCTATGGAAATCAGGCCATATGCACTCGATAGCCGTGATACAGCGAGAAACTGCTCTGAAATTAGGAATACATGCAAAATGATGCCTCAGGTACTAAAGTTTTTGACCTGTAAGTCAGATATCCACATGCTATTTGTTCCTTGCTTATACTTGAAAAAGGAGTCTTTGTTTTAACCTTCTCACACAGTATGCTTCATCATTGGTAACAAATCACTGAAATTTACAAGCCAGCTGATACTGAGGTATTCTTCTTTGTAAGCTTTTTCTGACACTACAGAAATTTATACAACGCTACATGCACACTCGGTCATTGCAAACACTTTGATGTCGTCGATAGGAAAGATCTTCTTCGTGAACTGGCACTGTGTGAACGGTACGATTTTCGCTTTAGTTCCACCGATTGAATGGAAGAGCCTGAAAGCACACACAACGAACTAACAGACCAATAGAATTGTCGGCTTTCAAACAACAGAAATATTCCTTCCCACATAGTTTAACCGTCCTAGTCGATCTAAAATACCGCTTAATATAGAAAATGGATAAAATTACTTGATCGGAGTTCGATCTAACAGGAAATGTCAGAAAAAATGAAAACATTGGTACCTGGCCGCATTCTCGTTGATAGCCGGATAAAGAGAAGCGAACATTTTGTATTTCCTGAGATCCGGAATGCTCAACAAAATCTCAGCAAGAAGTGATGCCGCAATCACCTGAAACATTTGCAAAAGATTTCCAGTTCGATGACCCCTACAAAGAGGTGATATAAAAAAGAGAAAATACTAGTACTTAACAACTGGCAGCCGGCGAAAACATAGGCGATAGAACTAGCTGAGAGAAAGGCAAAACGAAGGACCCGGATGGTGTGGTGGTGAAGTGCGCTCCTCCCCGGCAAGGACAACAGCGCGTGTTCGTTCCCCACCGCATACACCTGCGGTCCGGAGCTTTGCAAATATCTCAGCATTATATAGGCGACAGCAATAAATTTCTTCAGATTATTCAGCTTAGCCGAGGTTGCTTCAAAATTGTTTATTTGCTATTTACTGGATTAGCACACACACTAGGTTGTTATCATACATTGTTTGTAGACAATGGTTGAAGCTTCAGCGGATTTCGCCTTCTTAAGAGACTGGAAAGATCAAGTTGACCTCAATCTGGTCGGCTAAACACCTCCATGACCTCACCAAAAAAAAATCACGAAACCCGATTTCTAATCGAATTCCATATAAAATAGCGTTTTCACACACTTGCCGATCTCTGTGAGTCTTCCACTAAGTGTCCAAGTGGCCACCAAGCGTTCTGATCTCACAGAGGTGGGTAGTGAGCCACTCTTTATCCGGTCAACACTTCCCACTCTTCGCTTTTCACTGACCTGAGTTAATCCGAGTCAATTGTTTACAATTGTTCCTTCTTCTGATGTGAGTCTTTGTCATTGCACCGCGGTAAGCACAATGAAGCACCCCTGCGAGCCTCACTTCGAGGGGCTCTTTTAATATAAAATGGTTGGCGATTGGTCAATAATCCGTTCATAAGGTTTTGTTTTCCCCCGAACAATCCATCCTGTAGCAGTCGTAGAGTAGCTAGTGTATGGCAGCATAATACTTTCCTAAATTTCCTTTCAAATAACTTCGAGATACTCACTTACTTCGATACTTGGACGGTCGCCATCAAGAGCTGTGCGGACCCCAGAACATATGCCATTCGTTCCTTTCTCTCGCAATCGTAGTCCATGGTGGTTGTCTTGTTCGAGCACGGTAGCGCGTGCGAGTCACATACCGTGATCTGTAAAACAACTGCAGCTGAGGGTACAGCTGATTAACTTTGTTTACGAACACGTCCGCCCAACGTGTAGGTGGCCGTCCAAGGAGATATTTGCATTCTCTTGGAGTCCACTCTACTGTTATTTTCGTCAATCTGTCGTCGGCTCTTCTCATTATGTGACCGGCCCATCTATGTTTCGCTGTCGATGTATATTTTCCTGGATCTCGAAGATGTGACAGATTTCGAAGGTCAGAGCTTCGTATGCCAGCTACATATTGAGAGTGCCGGTTATATTTTAGAAGACATCGCTCAAGCGCTCTGTGAGTAGTGCGAAGCATTCTTGATGTAGTTGAAGTATCAACCCACGTCTCCACAGCATAACAGAGCGCTAGGAGGACCGTAGAATCAAAGAGATGAGCGCGGATTTTCGGGTCCTTCAGTTGGTCGGTGGCTTCTTTGAGAAGCACGAATGCATCCCAAGCTGCTCTCCATCTTCTATCTCGTTCCTCGTTCATGTCGTTTTCCATGTTCATTGATCGGCCAAGGTATACTTACGAAGAGGTCCCCGTAATCAGAGAGCTATCCAATTCAATTTTTTCGCCTTCACACCACGGGTTTTTCATGAACTGGGTGTTCTTTCGATTTATGCGAAGTCCGATCTTTTTTCACGCTTCGTTTAGCTCGTTGATCATCATCTCTGCTTCGATAGTACTTCTTGAGAAGTTGACAATGTCGTCGGCAAAACGAAGGTATGATAGGAATTTTCCATCAATACGTATGCCTTTCTCATCCTAATCGAGTGACTTCATTATCCATTGCAGTGCGGCACTGAACAGCTTTGGTCACATTGTGTGGCCCTATCGAACTCCTTCTCCTATGAGTATAGTATGACGTCAATGGAAAACCTGTATTTTCGTAGTGCAGTTCCGATAACAGTCCGACAGAGTTCTTATGTAGGACGGGTCCACTCGTTGGTCGACGAGCGCTGATAGAATTGCATTCGTTTCGACGCTGTCAAACGCTTTCTCATCGTCGACAAATGCTAGGACTGGAGGCAAGTGGTATTCCAGACAAACTTCGATGAATCTGGATACGGTTGGATGTGGTCCGTGCAGCAAAATCCTTTCCGAAATCCTGCTTGCTCAACTGGTTGCGCCTCATCCAATGTCCTTGATATGCGCGAGAGGATAACCTTCGTTGGTGTAGAACGTTTCCGCTATTAATTCCATATCATGGCGGAAAGTTTTGACGATCCCATCTTCCAATGATGCTGAGATATTTGCAAAACTCCGAATTGCAGGTGTCTGCGGTGGAGAACGAACGCGTTATCGTTCTTTCCGGCGAGTAACCCATTCACCACCACACCATGCGGGTCCTTCGTTTTGCCTGTACCTCAGCTAGTTCTATCGATCTCTGCCATCAGCAAGGTGAAACTAAGGACTCGCATGGTGTGGTGCTGAACGCGTTTCTCCCCGGAAAGGACAATAGCGCGTTCGTTCCCTACTGCAGACACCTGAAGTCCGGAGTTTTGCAAATGTCTCAGCATCATTGAAAGTTATATTTCGCAATATACACTGCCGTTAAAAAGAATAGGCAGTAAATGATAAGCTAAAACTGTGATCCCATCTTCCTTCATCAAGGCTGACAGCGGAACATTATAATCACACAAGTCCCGACAGCATTTTTTCAGACTGCTTCTTTTCTCTGCTGCTTCCAGTATTTTCTTCTGCTTGTATCGTTGTAGATCTTCCTGCAAGGCTCTTTGGCAGCTGGCATTTATTACTAGCCATGTCATGCTGATCATCATGCTGATCAATCACTGTTAAGAAGAATCGAAAAAAGCACTCTCCTCTGTACAGTTTTTTTAATTTAGGAGTCTGTACACGCAGGTAGGATGTTGACTTTCTCAGAATTGTAAACGTAGGACGTAGATTTGTTTTTTTATAGATTCAGTTTGTAACATCGTCCTGGAGGGGTCATACGAGTCTTCCTGTAATAGTCGGAGTCCACGACGGCCAATTTTCCCCTGATCCACAAAGGTTGGCAAGTGCTTAAAGTGATGAATTGCGACCGCCCTAGGCAAGGTGTCACACGTTTCTATGAAAAATGACACTCAACCAGCATTCGACATATTAATGAGGGAAAAGAACAGGGTCTAGAGCTCCATCTGAAGCCCATGTGAGCTCGAATACCTTGGTCAGTTAAAAGTTCAAGAAATGAAATTGATAGAAGTGTGGAATCAGCATGATATGTGAAAAAAATCATACACGTATTCAGGACGTGGGGCCTATTGCATGAGAATAAATTCGAATCATTTTTCACCCAATTCCCCGTTAATTTTTGCTATGTTAACGTGTAGGACGGAATCCAGACATGTAATCACACCCAGACACATAGACATGAATATCGTTGTTTAGTATTATCACATCATTGCGAAAGCTACAATCCATTATAGTGCACAATAAACATGGAGTCTTACTGATTCAACCGGTGTATGTGAGAGTGCATGTGGTTGCTTTTGTTACCGCTTTTAGCACTACAACAGGCAACTTTGGGTCTCAGAGGAATATCTCGGTAGCCAAGCAAAGAGTGGCGATTTCATTACAAGAAAAACAAATGAGAGATTGACGAAACGAAAAGACAGTGAAATTGACTACGACAGAATGCAAAAGTCCTCTCGGACGAACACCGAAACGCTGAACGGACGTGTTCGTGGCCAACATCAACCATTTAAATTTGCTGATAGTAACGATTTCAGGACTATGTAATGGATGTTACGAATGTTACCATGATAAAAGCACAGTTCCAACAAGAAACGTGATCGCGCAAGGGAGAAACGACTTGAAATTATGCTTGCTCTACCACCACCATTGAAGGCAGGCCATCCATACATACAAGTGTTAGCTATACTATGATGCCCGCGAACAAGTGTGTTTAGATCCTCCACTGGGTGGAAATTAATGGGACACATTTATATATATATATATATATATACATGTATATATATATACGTGTATATATATATATATGGCGCGCACTGAGTTCTCAGGAAAAAAATTGTCTCTTTAGCGCACCAAAAATACTCAGGTTTTAAATCGTCATTACCCACCAACACAATTTAAATCTGCAGTGGCCGTAGATTAACCTCTCGACCAATAGAACATACAAAGCACCCGGTTTCACACGAGAGATTAAAAAAGCTTGAAAACATATGGTGACAAGATAGCTACTAAAAGCCTTAAATATAATTAGATAGAATGCATCTTCCTGCACTCTTTATATTCCTATATTCACCTCGCTGTCAGCGAAGACCGGTCCAGCACAGAGGTCGTTGGAGTAAACAGCTCGAACGCAGCCAATTCCGACAATTTTGCCCGTCGTATCTAGTGCCACCTAAAAAAATTTTGCTGCTGAATTTGTTGAATGCGAAGCATGAAGTAGAGTTTTCAGGTACAACCACCATGTTGCCAAGATATTTGCAAAACTGCGGTCCGTAGGTGCCAGCGGTGGAGACTGAACGCGCCCTTACCCTTTACGGGGGTAACGCGTTCACCACCACACAATGGGGCTTTCTCGTTTCGCCTATCAATGGCACTGATCAATAGAAAACAAACGACACTGATCTGGGACTGATATCTATGATACTGTTCGATTGAAAACTTGCTGAGAAACAGCTGAAACGAAGGACCGGAATGGTGTGATGGTGAACGCGTGAATCTCCGGGACAGATAATAGCGTGTTCGTTCATCACCGCAGACACCTGTAGTACAGAGTTTTGAAAATATCTCAGAGATGTTGTGGTTGTATCACACGTAATACCCTGATGTGAAACAAAGTAAAAGGCGGTAAATAAAAAGTTAACACAGTTCTCATGCACTGGATTTGGCTTGCTACATCGGTATCAATTGCGTAACTACTCCAGTCACATTCGCAACGGGTGTTAATGCCAGTATGGGAGAACTTAGTCGGAAAGCAGCAAACGTCTCTCTGATTCACAATTGTTTTCGATTTCCTATAATTGATGAGTTGGGAATGTGCAAGTTCGGGAATCTAGTGAGAACATCTATCTGTCAATCTATCAAACGTATCACTGAAGAGATAAGAAAGCTAAACTTGGAGTCGATCGCACTGACGTACGGTCCCCCCTCCTTTTATGCCCGATGATGCTGTATTAATGAGAAAAAGAAAGAAAGAAGAAAACCAAGCAAAGTAGATAGAGACGTTTTTTGGAAGAACTAACGTCCACGTACCTTCGTGAAGCATTTGCCTGTAGTAATGAAATTCACAAAATACTTGGCACGACTTCGTCGAGAAATAGCAATATCGTAGGCAATCACATCTGCTTCCTCTACATCTTTCAAATCCTAAAACGTTCGAAAATCTTTTGTTCAAAAAACCACCAAGAATCTGTTAAAGAAGGATGTGTCATTCTGGTGGGAGGATAGCTGCACTGGCTCGATACATCGGTAGGCCACCGCAAGTCACTGTAAAGGCCGGATATGCATTCAATCACCTCCAACGATACGAGACTTCCTCTATGAGTTTCGTTGTCTTCCAGCTGTCACTCAAAAAAGTGGCAGGATTCGTACACAGATTCAGCGAGGATTTGAGAACGCGTTGCATCTTTTCTGAATGATGGATGACAATGGATCCTACTTTTACTCGGAATTCGGTGATGAGTTACGATAGTGTTCACAGGTCTATAGCACAAACGTTCTACGGCTGCGGCTGCTGTGAATCGTTGGCAGAACTAGCTGTTCGTGAATTCGGTTTTGCCAGCGCAGCAATGAATCTTGCGTGCAAAACGAGCATTGCGATTGGTCGATATTGTCTGTCGGACGTAGGTCTCCAGCTTCCCGACCGGAGTCACTTAGGGATGAAAGTAATTCTCTGGTTTGCAGAAATTCTTACGATAATATGGTCAATTGAGAGAAACGTAAGACTGAAAACGACGTCCATCCATGCGAGTGTCCGTGGTTTCCTAAGCAAATGCAACGTTGACTGTTCCACCCGTTTTTGCTAGATCAGCTTAAAGATTTAATTCATTGAAAAAAAACAATGCTTTCTAAGAACAGACCAAGTTTATCACATAGGGTGACATGTTAAATAGAAATCCATAAAAGCTAGGCGAAAAACAAGAATAAACAAAACCACACATACACAAAACAATGCACAGAATTTTATTCAAAGACTAAGCGTTGAGATTTCAAGTGACGAAACCAACACTGCTTTTCCAAAAGCCCAATATATTCGCAAATTCAAGAGAATAGAATCAATAGCAACCTTTGCATCTTGTTCAAGAAAGTTTTTGTTCCCCGGATAAAAGATCAAATAGAGCTTCCTGATTGTCGGTGTAAGAATATATAATAAAGAATATGACAGAATATTAGAAACATTATATATATACATAGATAAATATTAAGTATATATGGAATAGAATATATATTCCTCCCAACGTTTTACCGAATAATCGTGGCTGGAAGGTGATGCTGGGTGTCCGGCTGCGATGTACAACGAAGGAATTCATTCCCCGGCATGAACTCCCAAGATGGGAAGTACTCTGTTGTTTCCATCAAGAAACCCAGCTAAGAGTAAGCCAATACCAGGATTCACCATCGTCCTGATATCAAACTAGTCTTATGGTGGCAATTCTCCTTATGATCCACAACGACTTCCCGTGATGGTGACGACCCGCGGGAGACTTTGGCCAGGGTGAACACAGGATTCCAGGGAACCACAATGGCTAAACTAGCAAGTCGCCAGAAAAATGGAGATTATGCTGGGACCCACACAACTAGTGAGGACAAGACTTCAAAGTATCCCAATAAGTAAGAATATGTTCAGTATACACTTTCAAAATTGATCATTTGAGTGGTAGTAATGCTTTCGCATTATTTCCTCTAATATTTGTATTATCTGCCTTATAAAATTGTCATTGCAGCGTTGCTGCTTGGAATTTAGAAAAAAAGGTCTGTACCCCACCTTTATGACGTACTGTGAGTCGACGACGGTGGGGATCACCACATTATCTGTAGGGATAGCAACAAAATTATGTTTATAGTTGGGCATTTTGTCGAAACCATACTTAGAAGCGTATAATGACGTCATTTTCATCACTGAAATAAACTGTAGGTTTTTTGGAGCTTTCTCCACTTCCTGTAAGAAATTATTCAGTAGAAGAGTGGGAAAACATCACTCTCTAAGTCTCTTAAGAGAAAGTCTACCTAACCGAGATGTATTGGAGAAGAAAGTAGTTCAAAGAAACTCTCTTCAATGCGAAAAGCTCGAAGAACTCAGAAAATAAGTCGGGGCAGCTAATTTTCTGCTACACTTTTCATCAAAGTATTCCTTGCAGAAGCTCTGTTTATGCTTTTTTATATGTTGTTTTTTCTTCGTTGTGAAAAAAAATATGCAAGTGACATATTGATGGAAAAGTACATCCTAACTTACCACCATTCAAAGCCACATTTGCGTCACCCGCGATTTCCAACACCTTCTCGAATAAGAGCGTTCCTAAACCAGAATGTCGCCATTCTGGTCGCACATAATACATTCCAATCTGAAACTGATCTGTCATTAATATGCTAAGATATTTGCAAAACTCCGGATTGCAGGTGGATGCGGTGAGGATCGAACACATTGCTACGGCTTGCGAGGGCTAACGCATACACCGCTAAACCATGCGGATTTTTCGTTTCATCTTTCTTTTGGCAGCTAGTCTTCTATCTACAGTCCCACCTGTATTCACCCTTCAAAGGAATAGGTAATCACTTACTGTTTTTTCTAGAATAAACGTCCCATGATACTGGTGATATTGATGAAGTGTCGACGATTTCTCGTTTGAATGCAAGTGTTTAGAATGAGAAGTTGTGACAAATGTGTTGGTTAAGTATTAGCGTATCCCATGCATTAAAACCAATGCACACTGTCCAATATATGCTGAACTCATAACAACCAAAGCTGTAGGTCGTTAAGTTTCGTCCCCAACAATGCTCAGCTGCGGTTTTCTACGTAGAAGAATGGGAATGAATTTAGCTGCTGACGGAAACTCACATAATAAATGTCTTCCTCTGGTTCTTCTGACGCTGAACGATCGAATGCCATACAAACACCTCCAACTGCTTCCTGTGAATCTAGAAGGCGTCAAGGATATGGGGAAAATTCGAAAACAAAGAAGAGTAAGATATTCTGGAAAGTTAGCGAGGAGAGTTCTTGCGGAAATCTGATGCCAAATTCGAAGATATTCTGTAGAACTAGTAATCAAACAACCCAACAAAATATTTCCGATGAAATGTTCAGTACAGTGCGTTCGTTTAAAGTGATCTATAAACTAGCTGTTCTTTCCATTTCGTCAAATTCTTCCGACGTCTCTAGCTTTGAGTGAGACTCCTTGCCATCGTGTTAGCCCGCAGTTCGTACCGGCCAAGTGAGAAGCTGTCGCTGTTTAACTGTCACTCGATACCCACTAGCCATAAACTTTCGCTCAGTTTTCCTCCTTGAGTCTTGAGTATATTACTTCACAATAACGTTCATAAGCGAGTTTATCAACAAGTATTACCTTCTTCTTAGCATGGGATCATATCGAGTGACACCGAAGTAAATTCAAACTACTGAAGCTAATTTTTCCAGGTAGACACCTTCATTATTTTGTCTACACTTCTCGCGAACAAGATCTTTAATGGTAAAAACTCCCGTTTTTTAAACAATAGTGGAATACACTTTATTCAATCGATGAACCTGGAGATTGATGCGGCTTAGTGATTTATGGGTGCGGATAGGTTTGCTCCGGCAATAGGGTTAAATTATATTTACAATAGAGATTTATACTCCAGCAGAGAATGCACTGAATGTAAGAAGGAGTTCGATATTTCCATTTAGGATCCTGGTAAGTACAAAGCACACGTCAAAAGACTGTGCAGTGTTAGAAGAACCCTATTGCCCAGGTGGAAAACACCTACCTGATCCTTGAAGAATGCCAACTGCCATGACTACTAAGAATGTCAAGGCAATGAACAAGAGCTTTAGGATAAAAAGTTTACTCAACTAGTAAAATAGAGCGCAAGAGTAGATTGAAAGTGCTAAGTTCCGCTCAATTTTTTGAGAAGCACAAACCAATTACAGCCATCAATCACCACGTATTACAAGAGCCGAAATAATTTCTACAAATCAGCTTTTGAGAACGAAAAGGAGAAAAACGGCACAAAACGTAAATTCCTTCAAAGTGCTGTTAAAGTGGACAATTTTCTTTTCTACGAGCTTAGAAAATTGTCACGGAATGAACCTTTTCTTGGTTTTCGTTCTATTTAAATTAGGTGAAGATTTGGGCTGATTAGAACCCTTTCAGGCTTATTATATTAAACAGTGCGAGTACTCGATACGACTGGGGATTGATATAAACCAGTGCATGGGTCTTTTGAGTACACCTTAGTAAACTTGCTAAGATAGCAGTGGTCATCGAGATAATCTGTCATCTCGCTAATCTTCGACTCGAGCGAGCAGAGTTGGTCCTCTACATTGTTTTGGGCATTACAGGCTTCATTCAGACAAACAACAGCCACGAACAGAATCACGCTTTTTGCACGTGACAATTGTTTACACTATATCCGGTGAAGGTGCGCCTCAAAATAGAGAGATTCTTCTATAGTACCTGAACATACTCAGGAATAGCGCTCCAGACGGCCCCGTAGAAGCCCGTTTCTATCGTAAGCCATTCAGGTTACCATGAGCACACTTTTCAGCCATTTTCTTTCCATCATTTGGCTAAATCGACATCCACATAAGCAGTGGACTTCCAAGCACAGCAACGCACGTAGTTCAATCAGGAGCAGTAGAGGAGACTAAGAAGCATTGATACTTGCACCTATATCTCAATGAAAGTACATGGCCGCTTTATGCCTTATTTAACCCTTTGTTTCCAGTCTGGCGGCAAGCCATTTATCCTCGTAAATACGAGATGAGTCCTAAGAGTAGTCGAGAGAGAGTACAGTAGAGTAGAGTAGAGTAGTCGAGAGTAGTGTCGTAAGTCCTAAGATGAGAAAGATCCATACAAGTATAAATCAAACGCCCACAAATATATGTGTGCGATATCATCATTTTTGGCGTATTAGAAAAAGAATGTGGCAATTGTCTTTTTTTAACCACAGTTCTGACACAAATTCCTTCTTCACCTCTATCAATACACATATAGTACCAGAATTTTTCGAACGATTTCATCCATGTCGTGTAGTCCTCGGCAATGAACATCCAACCTTCCGTTTTCGAACACTGAAATTTTAACTGAATATTCGTTCATTCTTAATCAGCTACTAATGAGTTCATTTCAACGCTTCACCGGTGCTTCTGCGCTACGACGAAAGAGCAGAGTTTTTTGACGGCATGGAAAAGTCAGAAAACAGAATGCTAACTTTTATTTGCTAACTACTGTATCTTTTTACGGCAGGGTATGATGCAAAATACAACCACAATGATGCTGAGATAATTGCGAAACTTCGGACCGCAGTTGTCTGCAGAGGGGAATGAATGCGCTATTACCTTTCCAGGGAATAACGCGTTCACCACCGCAACATGCGGGTCCTATGTTTCGCCTGTCTCTCAGCTTGTTCTCTCGGTCTCGCTCAGAAAACAGATTTCATAATCGCATGCTGTATTGGCTTGAGAGGACAGCGCATTGCTAATGATGCCGATGACCACGTGAATGGTTCTGGCTCGACCCTACATCGGGTTCATCAAGCCCGTTATCTTCCTGTGGTCGAGAAATTGGTACCAGGCTTGTATGGAAGCTGTCTGCAAACCAAGTGGGAACGCTCAGCCCGGCCATCTCAGCACTCCAGGAAAAGTCGATTCGCGTAGCATTCAACGATAGCAAAGAATAGGTCAATCCTCTAGGTGTAGCCGAGTCCATGGCCGAAATATTTGAAGGCCATCATGAATGGTGGACATAGAAAGAGAATTGAATGCAAGAAGTGCTTGAATCCGCACAGTATATATGAGGACAAGTTATGTTGAAAATTTTGTAGCTCTATAGATACTCGACTCTGATCAATGTGTCTCTGGCGATGGCTATATTGCCGGAAGATCAAAGTCAAAATATGAGTTCTGCCAGCTGAAAGCTTATCAGTAAATCAGCACAGCTATTTTTCGTTCAAAAGTTAGGCATCCTTCAAAAAATTCTGTTATTTGCCTTAACTCTTTTATTTACAGTCTTTTTCTTCTTAATGGCAGGGTATGTTGTGAAATATAACTCGTATGAAGTGCTGAGATATTTGCAAAACTCCGGACC